AGACAATTTGGCCAAGAGGCGCGATTTCAGCTAAATTGCAACACAAATGCAAACAATTAGGGACTTTTTTTTTGCGTTTAGCCGCAGCAGTTGCAGTTGCACCGGCTGCATCCGCCCCACTAGAAGGTCACCAGCTTAAGAAGATGACCATCCCAGATCCCTCAGATGACAGATGATCTTTCAGTACCCACGAAATATCGCCCCAGTTGAGCGTCGAAATTAATTGGTTTTTAACGCGAGGCGACGATGGATAAAAATGAGAATAAGAACGAGATGGTTTGAGATTCTCAACATGCGTAGAACAGAAGCACAATTGGGCTTAAGTTCTTAAGTAAGCTTCTTGGGTGAGAACACCCACGGATTTAGAGTTATATTTTACAAATAAGAAGGAATTTTTAAGTCGTTACTTTGGATAAGATTATATAAACAGATTAGCTTGCTACTAAGTATGCTAAGTAACCACCTAAAGACCTGTCTTGCCTAACAAAATAACAGTGAAATATCACACTTAATACCCTGATACCCCAATAATAAATAATAATAGGAAAACAAATATAGAAGGGCCTCCCACCTTTACTTCCCACGTTGTTATGGGGATTGTTGAATTGATGAGTTGATGTATAGTTGAGTTGCTGAATTGATGAATTGATGAATCGTTGAATTGCTGAATTGGTGAATTGCTGAGTTGGTGAATTGATGATTAGATGATGTTGTTATCCCTCGGTGCCCCATTTGTAGTTTGCAGAGCAAAATTATATATTTATCATTATTAGAATTTTGTATGGAAAATAAATTTAATTCATGGACACATACCTCAGCTTTCGATACCATTTAAATTTCAAATTTATTTTTCTAGTTTACCTTGATTTTCGTTACAGAACTCCGTATGCCATTTTCTTTGTGAAAGAAAATTTCTCCATCAGAGTACCATAGCAAATAGATAAATTTATCATTATGAGAATTTATATTTTAAAAATTTAAATTTAATTTATGGCCACATACCTCAGTTTTCGATACTATTTAATCTTTATAATTATTGTGCTCGTTTACCTTAATTTTTGATACGAATCTTGGCATTTCCGTATGTCATTTTCACTTCCATTGTGAAAGAAGATAAGAAGATTTCTCGTACATTTGTATATTTAAATTTTCCTTTGAAACTCCAATTGTATTTGGCAAAGCATATCCCTATTTTTGGGGCTATATATGTGTATATGTATGTATATATTTACATACATGCTTCGTCGGACCGCCGATTGCATTTGGCAGAGCCCCCGTAAAGCCCCACTTGTGGTTTGCGCAGCAACTACATATGTAGATCGGCATATTAATTTGTCCCACGAGGCACCGATTCATAGCTCGGCAATTAGACAAATTTATCATTATTAGAATTTATATTTTCAAAAATTAATTTATGGCCACCTACCTCAGTGTTCGATACTATTTAAATTTCATAATTAGTGGGGTTTACCTTGATTGTCGTCACAAAACTTAGCATTTTCGTGTGTGATTTTCTTTGTGAAAGAAGACTTCTCATGTATGTATGTATATATGCATACATTATTCTTTGATCACCAAGCATTGGCATTGCATTTGCCACAGCTCCGCAAAGCCCCATTTTTAGTTTGCAAATAGATAAATTTATCATTATTAGAATTTATATAGAAGCAACTATTTTAAGGCCACTTACCTCCATTTTCCATATTATTAAAATCAGATAATGCTGCACCTACCTACCTACCTACGTTTGTCAAATTACTTTCAAATTTCTTGCCATTTCAATATAATAAATATTGATTTATATACTTATATACTCATACGTATGCGCCTTAATCATATAATATTTTTACAAATATGATCGGTTTTACTACTTTTCTTTTGATTTTCTTTGAATTACTTTAATGACCCTAATGACCTTTCTCTTAACAAAACCAATTTTGTATGTGATTTATCAATAAAAAATAACCACTTACCCCAATTTTGTATATTTTCGAGGTTTTTAGGGAATACGTAGTTGTTGAGCTATTTACCGTTTATTTCCTCTTCGTACAAACATACATATATTCTTACCTCCATCCAAATCTGCATATGTGTGTACATGTGTATGTAGATGGGGACTCTATATTTTCACTTGTCCAGCGGAGCACCCTTTGCAATTTGGCATAAAAAATTAGCTAAGTTCACCATGTAAACGTTTTATATTAAATATACATTGATCAAAATTCAAAACATAGTACTTCTATCACTTTATCTAAAGTTTTAAGCTAATACTTAGCATTTTTTAAACGGAGTAACAAAATTTGCTTACAGCTCCGTGCTGCCACTCGTTAAAAATGGCAAGTGCAAGAAATGGGAGAGCGGGTGGCGGCTTAGGAAGCTATTCCAAGATCCTCTCCTTACTTCGCCTCTCTCAAAGTTCATCCTCTCCTTCTTTGACAAATCAAACAAATACAAATATACCCATCAAATGTATGTACATATGTACATATGTATGTAAAGGAAGACGCCCACACCTACAAGGGAAAAAAAGCAGCAAAATTCATAGAGTAAAAAGTAGATGTTGATTTACCTTATTTACTCCTACAATAAAAACTAAAAGCACAGCCCAGCGATCACCATATTTTACGTTTCTAACTATTAGTTACACTATTTACGCACAATTTTAAAATTTGCATGCAATCCAGCCTTGCCACTCGTTACCACAGACAATTATAAAACAAGGCAGAGGGCGTCTCTCTCAAAGTTCTCCTCTCTCCTCTTTGACAAATTTTTCAAATACCAATAAACGCATCGCCATTTAAATGTTTGTATGCATGTAAGAGATGATGACGCGCCCACATCAACGGTGTCCCCGTCGGGTACAGCTTGCATTTAAACATAAAAAACATCTAAACTCACCATTTTAACAATAAATATTGTTACCAACTTAAAGCACAGTCCTGCGATCACTTCTTTTTATGTTTTTATCAATAATTAACACTTCTTAAACGGAGCAACCAAATTTGCGTGCACTCCAAGGAGCACAATGTTGCCAACTTAACAGAAACTGAAAATCAAATTACGCCGTAGACGTGAAAGAGAAGGCAAGATTTCCGTTGATCTACAGTAGCTCCAAGCTTATTTCGTGCAAGAATATATCAAAGTTTAAATTTGAAACCGCTACTAAACTAGCAGAGATATCAAACAAATTTAAACGCAGTAATGTTAAGAATGTCGCACAATATAACTTTGATTTATTCTTGCACGAAATAAGCTGGGAGCCACTGTAGGTTTCGCATCTGTTGTCTTCCATTTTTTACTCTCCTTTTTCACAAGGCAATTTAACCGTTGCAAATTCAAATTTAAACTTTAGAGAACAGGAGGAGCTGTAATTATTACAAACAAAACACAGAGATGATATTTATTTCAGGTTAATTAAATTGAATGTAAATATATAGAAAATTATAAATAGAAAATGCTAGTTAAAGCGCCCAAAACCATCAATAAAAAGAATTAAGTTTCGGATGAACATCCTCAACTCTAGAACCACCAAAAATGTTGGTTAACAGCCAACATCTGTTGGTAATCCCCTTTTCAGCCCATTCGATTGATTTAAGCCCAGTGTTCGCAAGTGTGATTAGGACCGATCTAATTGGATCAACCTCCTGCTGGCCAGGATCTACCGAAGGAAGGGAAAGTGAATGTGGAAAAGTGGCTTTTCACCACCCTCTCTCCTCGTCTCGTTGAGCCAAAAAGGGTTGGCCGTGGAAAATTGCTAATGTGATTGCACTAATGGCTCGAATTATAGACGCATTGGGGTAAATTAAAATCCTCCACTCGATTGGAAGACCATGTCCAAGTCCAGGTCCATGTCGATGTCTATGTCCAAGCGGGGGTGGTAATAAAGTTGTAGTGCCGCACTAACAATGCCCTTTTGTTTGGTTGGTCAGGTGCAAATGTTGCATGTTTTTCCTCAGTCACTCCCCCACATTCTCCAGCTCTCTTTTTTGTTATTGAAATAAAAAAAAAGGTGGTTAGGGTTGATGGGGGGCTTTTTCCCGTCATCGAGTACAACCCAAAACAGCTGTCAGCATTTTTTGTCGTCTGGAAAACTCTAATGTGGCCCACGGCGTTGACAACTGGGTGGAGCTGAATATAGAAGGGGGCTCTTCTATTGGGGTAGAGGGTGGCTAAGTGACAATTATTTGTGCTAGTTGCGGGCTCGGTTGCCCAAAGTATTAGTTACGTTACGCGATTGGTTAGCGTTAAGTGGACGCCAATCGCATTTGTTGATCAGAAAAGTGAAGTTATTTCAAGGTTTTGACTTTGAGTATTAAATATAAGTAATTAGAAATGTATAAAAATATAAAAAATATAAATTTATATTTAAATAAACTAGTTTTTATTATGTTTAACTCAAGTAAGCTTATAAAGTTGAGTTGGTATTGAAAAACTTTAAATATTCATCTAGTAATATAATTTAACAAAAGAAAATGTACTAAAAACCAATAAAATGATCATTTTCTGAGCATACAGAATAACTTTTAAGAAAAACGTAAGCTTTTCCTATTAAATTTCCCTCCTAAATGGTAATATTACACATAATGACATACGTTTTCCAGCTAGACTTTCGCCACTATTTCCACCTTTCCAGAAATACGCCTGACCACAAGTCCTCAACTGAAGTACACCCCATAATTTCCCTTTCCCTTACCAATATTCCCCCCCATAAGTTTCCCTTTAATGGACGCATTTATACCAAAATATTATTTCATATGTTGACACTCGCACGTAATTAGGAATACAAGGTTCATGCCTGATTGACTTTGACTTTGAGTGACATATATATAGTACACTATATAGTATATAGACTTGGCCTAATTAAAAATCAATCGTTGAGGGGCTAATTAGGGTCCTTTCATTTCCACCATCAAAAGGCCGCAATTAAAGGCCATAATACCCAACGCCCCGCGCCACGTGTCCTGGCCAGAAAATTGAGAACATAAAAAACACAGAGTTTGTTTAGTATTTATATTTATCTGATATTTATTTATGCCTTGTCCAACAAATTATGCGCTTCAGTTGCATAAAAAGCCAACACGTGCCGACCTCTGACCTCCCGCCGCCGTCACCGCTCGGTGACATTTTCAAAACTGAATGAATCTGCAGTGAGCGGAAAATGGATTTCTAATATTTTCCTCATACAAAAAAAAATGGAACGAACATATTACGGCGCAAGTAATCAAAAAAACAAGGAAAAAATAAGGAAAAACTGTTGGGAAAAAATAAAAGAGGAAGCTTAAAATATGCTGGCAGGCGGCCACAACTTTTCCCGCAGGACGTCCGGGCTTAAAAGTTGAGAAAAATGAAACTTTTATGAGCGCATCTCCTTGGGTTTTTCTTAGATTTTCACTCATATATATATAATATATATAGAGCAATTTTCTTTTCGATTAAATGCTTGAGCAGGCACAGCGGACAGGCAAAATGGCGCGCATAAAGTGCCGCAAAATGCTCCGAACTCCATCCGGACCATCCTCGTCCTCCTCCTGGTCTTCCTCCTTCTAATCTTTGCAACTGATATCCTCCTCCTACGCCTGCTTTCGCCGCTTGGCAGGTCCCTCTGCCGGCAGTCCACTGTCGAACTCGGACATATTCAGGGTCCTCGATTTGCCCATGCTCTTCATGAAGCTGCTGCGGCTCACTCCATTGCCTCTGGGTCCCTGGGGTCCCGGTTTCCGGTGATCAGCTTCCTTTGCTCCTCCATCCCGCTGCTGACGCACCTCTCCACTGACCGTCGTCGTGAAACGCCGCTTGGCCCGCTTCTGAGCCTGAATCTTCTCGGGATCTCTGTAGGATAGAAGTAAATCCATAAGTATAAGATCATATTGTGATCCTTCGATCCCTTACCTTTCCGTGTAGGTCAGTCGATTGGTGGGCGGTGCTGCCTTGGGGGCGGCATGCTGGGCGGCGAACTTGGAGGGCGCCTCCTTAAGTGCAAAGCTCTTGGCAAAGTGGCCCATGTGGGCGACGCGCACGTTGAAGATGGGCTTCAGCTCCTTGGGAAATGTCGAGTAGAACTTCATCCAGGACACAAAGGCTGAAAAAAGAACAGAAGCGGAGATGTTAATGCCTTTAGAATTAATTGATGTCTTGGCTTAAGTGCCAGGGCATGTGTGCATGTGTGCGTATGCTTTGTTTGTGTGTATGTGTGTGTGAGCCGCATTCATTACAAAATAAATTTGTTAAAATGACAAATGAGCAGTGTCAGCAGCAAAGGATTTCACATCACAATCATCCACAATAGACACAGGAGAGGCAAAGGAGGGGAAGAAGGGAATACATGTACATTGTGTACATGGATGTGGTTGGCTGTTGTGGGCATGTCCTTGCTAATTACGCAGCACTTATGCCAGGCAATTCCAAATTATACAACAATGATATCAAATTACCAACGGAGCAAGCAGCCACTCAGGACCACAATTGTTACCCCGGATAACCATCTCCATCTCCATATCCATGCCATGGAGTGGAGGTTATGTAAATGCGATGTGAAATGAAAAATGCAATGCAAATGGCTCAAAGGACGACACTTTCCAAAAATGAAACCAGACAGATGCGAGTGCTAGTTGTATATCCTTTTTTAAGGATATTCCTTAATTTCAAAGATTTTGGATGGGGGTAGAAAGTTGTTTATTGTTGGTTGGTCGAACTAGGATATAGGATAGGATAAAGTATAGGCTAAAAAAGTTTCTTATGATCTTCCTTTCCAATACTTTTTTAACTCTTTTAACCCTTAATGATACACAAACCCCCTTAAAACCCTTAACCTCCTGACTAGGCCTCTATTATTCATTAGTTAGTAAGCCACTAAATTAGCTTTAATAAACTGCTCGCACATCCGGGGTTCCCAGGAGTTGGTAATTGACTACCGAAGAACCGCATATCCCGGCCACAAGCATACACTCCCACTCACAACACACCCACCGAAACCTCCAGCTCCAGGATGACTCCGAGCTGAACTCGAGAAATCCCAAAAACAGGAAACAAAGAAGGAGGAGACGAGGCACAAGCCAGCCGAAATGGATGCAAAGACGTTCCTGCCCCGGCAATTAACTCGCAGCAGTCCTTTCTGCATCCCGAGTGTCCTTCTTTTGGGAGGGGAAAGAAAGAGGAGAGGGTGGTGACCCCCGCCAAAGTCTCAAAGTCAAGCTCTGGGCTTTCTGGTTCTGGCTTAATTGCCGCAAATGCGATTACTGCCAAGTGGCAGACATTAGGCAAACAAAAAGTATGACGGCAGCGGATGTTTAGAGACGTCTGCCAGCCGGAAGTGACGAATAAAATAAATGTCATTCGGGGGTAAGAATATATATATATATATGTATGTGGCATCCACCGCAGAAGCCGCACAAAATGGCTTTTTATATGCCATTGTCTCTGTCTCTCGGTGGTTTTTCGGTCTTCACTGGATATTTTTCTGGCTTTCAGGAGTGGGTTTTCCCCCGGATTTTTGTGGTGGTTTTTGTTTTTCATTTTTCTTTCTTTTTTTTTTCGTCAGCGCGTGTCCATGCGGTTTTGTGTAGGCGTGGCAAATTGTTGTGATTGTTTTTCTCAGTCTACCCATTGCCATTTCCTCAACACCCCCCAGAATGATGGGATTTCCACGTATCACTCGATGCCCAAACCGCAGAGGGGGCTTAGTGTTATTTCACCCATCAAGGGCTTAGCTCGGAAAATGGCATTAACAGAACTCTTTTTCATCGGGCTGAGGATAAGGCCAAAAGGACAAAGCCGGCAGAGAGTAAGCCATTAAAAGTGCCAAAAATGATTGTAAGTCAAAAGGGGAACTATGAGGATCAGAGTGGATGTCACAGGATTATCCATCATTTGGAAACAGATGTCTTTTGGGAGAGATAGAGATATCAGAAAATGAGGGGTTAGTCAAGTCTATCACTAAAAACTTCTATCAGAAGTGTTTTAATATTGTTTAAGAATATTTCTTAATAGGAAATTAACAGAAACTAATAACTGCCTTACAGCTCTGAAACGCACTGTAGCACGAACTACTGCATCTTGAGAAAAAAAAAACACAAAAAGATGAGGACAAAAAGTGAATTGCGAGTTGAAAATTGTTTCAATTACCGATGCAATGCCAGTCCTCGCAGATGTGCTTCCCTCTCTCTTTCCCAGCTTGTTTGTCTTAGCAATCGCCCCGTCTCTCTCTCCCTGCCTGCCTGCCATCTCTTTCTGGCTGCCTTTTATCTGCTGCTTTGTACAGTTTTGTTCAAGCGTAATACTTTTTAATGGCTTTTTGATTGGACGCAGCAGAGCAGCAGCAGAGCAGCAGCAGTAGCAGCAGAAGTAGTAGTAGGAAAACTGCATCCTACAGGAAACATTTTGGCCCCCCAAAATGGGCGGCTTCTTCCTTCTCATTCTCTCAGCCTGCTATAGCCATCCCTTTCGGGCATTTTGGCTGGCTCTGCTCTTAAGTTTTGCCAAGTGGCTTCCTGTCTTGACGCTTGACTCGGCGCTTAAGTGCAATTTGCGTTGCCATTTTGACCGACTCGGGACTCTAGATTCTCCCTATTTTAATATATATATATCTCTATATATCCTTTATCCTTTATTTATCTTGCTGTTTTGCCATTGTTTTGCGATATTTCGCTCAGTTTCCGTTTCCTGTTTCGAGTCGCCATTTCAGCCATCAAAGGAGTTTTCCTCCACTCTGACTTGTGCTTTTTGGGTGCCTTTCCCCCACATTTATGATTCATTTTGGCTGCCTGGCTCTATCTTTTCGATTAGAATCGTTTCCCTCGTTGCCGACCCCTTTATGTGTCAATCGCAGGAAAATGAGGAAAAACATCGTCTGGTTTTTCCGTTAACCCTTCAAAACGCGCCTTGGTAACATCTAATTAACTGGCTCTCTTTTTTTCTAGCCTTTTCCAACGCTGCAATTACATTTTCAGCAGGATAGTAAGGGTATAAGTAGGTGGTCGAGAGAAAGATACCTCGTAAATAGATTCGGTTAAGGGTAGCTTGACTATTCACTTGACTAGGGTGAATGATTTAGTAAGCCATCTTATATGCATTTTTAATTCCTATTTCTAGGACATGTTTTCCCCTAATAGTATGCCAAACCTCCTCTAAAACCGATATACCCCTTTTCTCAAAGGGTAGCCACACCCCAACTCTCGGTTTGAAAAGCAAATAAAATAAAATGTGGAAATAACTGGAGGCAGGAAAGGAAAAAAGGATCAGGCGATGAAAGAAGTCGCTGCTGGTCACTTGCCACGATGACGGACGAGGGTGGGCAGTGGGAGATTCAGTGGGTGGCAGATATAGCGGTGGTGAGTTCATTTGACACGCAATCGAAATTAACTTCAAATATGAAATAATTTTTGTGTTTTTAACGCGCGCTGCCCCGCAGGATGATAGCTGGGCTTCGAAAGAGTGGGGGCGTGGCTCGGGCTACCAACTTATAATTGGAAAAATAGCCAAGCGTTTGTATGTTCCTGTTTTTCCTCCTTTTTTTTTGTATTGTTGTTGTTGTATTTTAGCCACCCGAGTGTTGTAAAAAAAAACTCGTAATTACAAAGTTAATGTTCTTTGGTGAAAGGATTAAATTGCTAGTTTGTTCAGGGATCAGAGTTGGGGCAATTGGAAAAGTAAGTGCCATGGGAACTCCGGCCAATGGCACAGGACAAAGAAGGGTTCTCTCTCTATATATATTTTTCAAATAGGAAAAACCGAATTGGGTTCTGGTGGTAATGGAACGATTAAATGGTATTGATTGAAGGTGATATCCTGGAAAGGGTAGATAGAAAGGAAACCCACCTTTGCAGGACTTGTCCCGCAGCTCGCGATCATCTTCAAGCAATGTCTGGAACTTGTGCTGCAGATTGGAGGCCGCCTCTTGCACCGTCCTGGCCTCATCATCCTTGGGCAGCAGGGTTTGCAGATAGGCATACATGTCACCCTGTTGGATACGAATGCGTTTCTTCTCCAGATGCCTCACGAACTGTGCCTCGCTGGGTGCCAAAAAGAGGACAGCTCTACCCTTCCTACCCGCTCTGGCCGTTCGACCAACGCGGTGGACAAAGTCGGCTGTAGTCTGAGCCGGTGTATATTGCACCACAAGCTTGACATCGGGAACATCAATGCCGCGACCCACAACATCGGTGGCCAGAAGAACGCAGCTGGCACAGTCGCGGAAGCCACGGAAAACGCCCTGCCGCTCCGTTTGTGTCATGGAGCCATGGAGTCTTGGAAGAGGAAAAATCAACAATTAAAAGATGAAAATCATTTGGAAAACGAAAAATTTACTTAAAGAAGCGCAGACCCTGTAGCAAAGGTGTGTCTCCCTCATCCGAATCCTCTTCCTCCTGTTCGTCTTCCTCGTCCAGAACTCGTCTCGTCAACGCCTCGTTTAACATGTCATGATGGAAATTAACCATCTCCGTGGTGCTCATAAAAACAATTGCCTTGAACTCCTTGGGACTTGCGTCCAATTCCTTGGCTAGCAGTGAGGACAAGGTGACCAAGCGGAGTTTGGGTGGGACAACCACATAGCTGAGCTGGAGATTCTCAGGAATACTCAGCACACCCGTCACATCCTCCTGGTATTCACCCAGACCGTCGTCAAGCTCCATCAGAGCCTCAATGGTTTCCTTTTGATAGCCATCCTTGTTTTTTATAGCCGCACTTGCCGCCTCATCGCTGTTGTCTATGTACAGGGGATTCTTTAGCGTTAGGCCAGCTAGTTGCTGGACCTGTGGGGTCAGTGTGGCACTCAGAAGCATTCTCTGCAGTTGTGGTAGATCCTTGTCTTCGCACTCAGAGCGCTGCTTGTCAATGGCCTCCACCAGTTGCTTGACATCACGTTCATAGCCCATTTCCTGCATACGATCCGCTTCATCCAGGATGAGGAACTGCAGTTTGGTTAGCTTAAAGGAGACCGTGTGCAACAAATGATCCACCAGACGACCAGGTGTGCCTATCAGTATGTTGATGCCTTTCCGAAGTCTGGCCTTTTCGCTTTTTCTGCTCTCGCCACCCAGCAATGATCCCGGCACGATCCAAGTGTAGGGCTTGACTAGCTTCTGGACAAGTTCGTAAGTTTGTATTACCAATTCCCTTGTGGGCACAATGACCAGAGCCAGTACACCATCTTTCCGCTGAATTTTGGGCTGCTGTTTCTGCAGGAGTTCCACCAAAGGCAGGGCATATGCCAGGGTCTTGCCCGATCCCGTTTGTGAACGAACTAGCAAGTCCTTGCCCTGAAGTATCTCCGGTATCGCCTTCTGTTGGACAGTGGTAAGCTCTCGTATGCTAAGCAGATCTTCTAAGTTCTTAATAGAGTGTGGATGCAGTCCTAGGGTCGATATTTTGGTTCCCGAAAAGATGGTCTCCTTGACGGGCTTCACGGCCCGTTGTCCAAGTTGCTTGAGGGCCTCCACATCGCTTTGGTCGAAGAGGCCGACCTTCTTGGTGCGAAAACGATTTGTGGTTGAGGTTTCCTCAGCTTTTGTGGGTTTTTTAGAAGGTTTTTCGGTTTTAGCTGCTTGTGGTGAGGATTCTCCATCAGATTCAGCTGATTCTTTCCCGGACTCAGCTGATTCTTCATCTGCGATTGACTTCTGGGGTCTTTTTCCAGTTAAACCCTTGTCTTTTCCTGGCAAATCTTTTGTGGATCCTTTCTTCGCATCTTCTTCATCTTCAGTGTCTTCCGGATCCGCGCCAGCCTCTTCCTGTCTCTTTTTCCTCCTCTCCTCCTCGATTTGCGCCCGGAAAATGTCGCCTGCCCTTGGCAATTGATTGGGATTCATCGGTTTCCGATGGCTTTTCAAGGCACGGGTGAGCTGCTCATCGCTGAGCTTGCCCAAGGGCTTTCCCTGCTTCTGTTTCTTGCCCAACCTTTCAGCTCTGGTGATTTTTGGCTTGGCTTTGGCTTGGATGACCACCGGTTTTGTGGTTACATTCAGCATAAAATCATCGCCTAAAATGGGTTTAGCAGGTGGCTTCGAAGGGGTAACATTAGCAGTTTTAGCAGATGGCTTCGTAGGGGTAACATTAAACATCAGATCTCCAGTGGATAATGCATCTTTGGGTGAAGGTTTTGTCGAGAAAAGGGAAGGAGTAGAAGGCACTTTGACGGAGGAACTCGCAGCTACCGAAGGAATCTTAGATCCCACTTTCGCAGAAACTGCCTTTCTTCGCAACACAGTTGCCTTAACTTTAGGGCGCTCGTCATTGAATTTAAAGTCAAAATTCATAGAGTTTTGTGCACGTTTTTTACCCGATTGCAGTGGCCCTTCCTAAAATATAATAAACAATGTATGAAAATGTTTCTTTTCCTTCAACAAACTCCACTTACTTGCGGTTTTCTCTTGGCCGACGGCTTAAGATTTACATTCAGCGTTATATTATCTACCATTCTTGCGCATTTGTGGTGGAAAAGCGAAGGAAATCAAAGAAATTTTTGTAAATAAAATAAAACGTGCGCGCCTCTTCTTCTTTCTTATTGCCAGTCACAGAGAAACGTTTTCCAGTCAGCTGTAGCGGTTCAGTGCGGCCCATTGGAAATGTTATTGGTGTTGCCAGATAAACAGAAAACTTCCGTGCGCGCGAAGATTTCAATTTGGCCGTTATTAATATTAAGAAGTTTTATTATGCTGATTCTTCATTTACTTTTAAATTTGATTTAAAATGTTTATGTAGCTCTTGTTACAATTTATTTCCCTTATTATTTATTAGAATTTTTCAACTTTAAATGCCATATTCTTCTCAAAAATCCCACAACAACCGATTTAATATTGTATATTAATATATTTTATATTTTGGCAAATTCAGTAACATGGTTTGTTTATCGTTAAAGTAACTTTCTCTAAATATATTATGCTTACAACGAGATACGCAGGTGACACAAAAAAAAAAACAAAACCAACTGCCTTGGGCAGCCACGTGGTTTTAGGTTCCATCGTAATTGTGGTTGTGGTGGGTGTTAGTGGGTGTTGGTGGTGGGTGGAATGGGTGTTGGTGGCCTTGCTTGCGTATGTTTTGTATATATTTAGCCATGTCAGCCCCAGCTTCTTGCGCCACAGATGTCAACCACAGTCCAGTGCATAACCGTGACGACAGCCTGTGATCCTGGTGGTTGTCTTTCCCCGGGATCTCCTTCAGATTTCTCATCTCCCTGTTGCTCCACATCCATTGCAATGACTAGATTATGGGGATTCCCCTGCTCCTCCGTCGTTTGGCAGGCAGCGTACAACAACTATGCGGTCACGTAGTACTCCCGCTGCCTCTTCTGGCACTTCTCGCGGGCTATGTAGCACAGGGCAATCGTGATCAGGAGGACTATGGTCACGCCCATGCCGATGCTCACCCACATGATCTCCTCGTTGATGCCCACATAAGAGCGACCTGAAAAAAATTTTATATTATACAAGTCTTAAAGCCTATTTAAAAGACTCACCATTATAGTAGTGATTGGAGTAGCCGGCTTTGCCAGCCACTCGACCCGCTGGCATTTTGCTAAAAGTTCAGCCAACTAATAAATAAAAATGTGCGCTCCTTTTTTATTTTGTTTTTCCTTTTTTCCTCCTTGGCTCGCTGGCCAGAAAAGTTTTACTAGCTATTTGTTGCTTTTGCAGCTATTTGGAATACTTCTACTTGTTTTCTCTGTTTTTGTTTCTCTTTTTTTTCAATTTATTTGCCCTTGTTTAATTACAATTTATGTGTTGGCCTGCATTTCGCAGTACTCAAGGTCATTGGGTGGCGTCAGCAGGATCTGAAAAGATAGAAAATTCGGATAAAACCATTAATGAAGCTTTTGCTTGGTTTTTCTTTCGTCATTCAAATGTTCGCGGGTCGATAGTGTCTTGCAGCACTGTCCTTGTCGTTTTACAGCACTGCTGAATACGAGGAAGCAGCGTCATCAGCTGTTGCTGAGTACAAAGAAATCTAACTTTGGCAAGTTGTTTTTATTCTAAATTATGTGTTCTTGATTAAATTAATTGTTTAAAAGTGCGCAATGTATGACTTAAAGCCTATAGGTGTAGAAAACCCCAGCAAAGTAATGGAAAACAAGGAACTTAGTGAGAAAAACAAGGACGCCGGTAATAGCGCGGACGCCGTTCCCAATAAGAAGCAAAAGCTGGATGAAAGGGAAGAGTGTGAGACAGGAAGAGTGCAACAACAAAAGTGCTTGAAAGGAGACACCTGTAGATGCTGTAAGTTTTTAGCTCTTGCAAATATTACAGTTATAACATCTCTTCTGGTCTTGAAACAATATTGTACGGTAAACTAGAAATCAAAACAAATGACTCCACTGCACAGTGTTACCTCAAAGAAGTGAACCCCTTGACTAAACAATAACTTTTACTTTATCTGTTAGATTAACATCACACTTTTAATTCAATACACATTATTTAATTTCTACATTTGAATGAACACTGGTGGCTTCTAAAAGTTAACTTTATCGAAGAAGCACTGTATTGCTTATCTTGCCTATCTTGCTTGTCTAGCTCCCAAGCCTTCTATTACTCATTTAACAGTTAAACTAGTGGCTTATATTGTGCACGCTGCATCTACATATATATATGTACATATATACATTCACACATATATAAATCAGTTAACCGAATTTTGCCTTCTCTTTCCGAACTATTTTGCTCTTAAGATAAACGTTCGCAAATGCAATGCTTCTGAACTTAGTTTTGCATTCTTATTTATTAGGTGTATTCCTAAAACTGTAAGGGTGCATTTAAAACTGTAACTAGCACTTCTTGTCGTATTTAATTGATTAATTAATAATTTTTCTACAATTGGCTTGTCTGTTCTTGATATTGACTATTTTTAAAAGACATTTCAGTTGTTTTTTAAGCATTAGTTTAATCTCTTTTTTTATTACCTTCACACATCTCCAACAATGTTCTAGTGAAACCTTGGGAAAAGTTCATATTACAAGGAAAAGTGCAAGCTGCAAGTTCGAAAAAACAATAGTATAGTTATGTCCATTGAGAATCGTTTGTGCCACACCCCTTTCATGTTCTTTCCCTTTCGCAGCGACTGACCGAAGATAATGTCCAGACATGCGGTTCATTCGTATGCACCGATTGTTCCTGACCAGAATCCATATCCTGGCATCCGTGATAGATTAAAGTTACGCCCAGGCACAAATTGCATCAAAGCGTCACGCCTCCCTCTTTCCAACCCTTTCCCTTTTATCTATGAACAAAGTTTTGCACAAATACACTGAGAGAAAGTACTATGTTATGTAGAAATATGAATATTTAACATAAACATTGGCTTAGGCCAATACTAGGTCATCTTTTTGGCATCTGCAAAAATTTCTAAAAAATTAAGTTTACACAATTTTCTTCCCATATTTTCTGTCAGTGCATCAGCAGCAAACACAACAGGAAACGGAGCATCCTTTCGTTTCCATTGCTGCACATTCACTAACTGCAACTGAAACTGCAACAGCAACTGCAATCGAAATGAGTGCGAAGGTCGCTTTTGACCAGGCCCAAATGCCCAAATGCCCAAAACCCGTTAGTGAACTTGGTTTTCGACTTGAATAATTCATGCCATAAAATGGCTAGCAACCCAATGCAATTTCCACCAAAAAATAAAGTTTAGAGTTTGTAAAACCAGCGATAACGGAAAATCATTTGCTTTTCCGCTTTTCCCGGGTAAAACTTTAACTTTAAAGGCAAAATTCCTCGGTGGTAATGAAAATAAAGCGTTTGGCCATTATTTAACCGCGCATTAAGTGCAGTTGACGTTGCCGGCGGCAACGTTGGCTAATTGAAAAGCGCCAACTGCATGCGAAACGTGGGTTAACTTAACCCCCTCTACAAAAAACACATTCACCCTGATTAAATGGCAGCTCACGGAGCATAATTATTAAACGCTTTTCTTTTCTATTAAGCTGCTTGCACAAGCTCATTAAGATTGCTAGTTTGGCCCTTTTTGGAAGGTTTCTTGGGATTTATTAATGATTGCCTAATTATGATTCTTTTGAGTCTGTTGTTAGAAATTTCTATAAGAATTCATCCAAAAAACTTTTAAGTGTTTAATTTATTTAGTTTTTATATTCATTATTACTTGTTAATATTATTTAATGGAGCTTGGCATTTGCATAATAGCTGCATGTAATCTCCGTTGCATTTATCTGCCGGAAATAAAAATCAACCCGAGAGTTTGACCCTGACACATTAAGCGCTTTTGAGTGCCAAGTGTGGGACAGAATTTTAAGTGCTTATGTGGAAAATGGAAAATTGTTAAAGAAAAACCAATGAAAACTCTCATTATTGGCCACTAAAAATCACTAATTAACTTCCCTAAAGTAAAAAAGTTTATGGGGGCTATATTCAAAATATTTACTTAAAAATTTTAACATTAAAAAAGAGTAATAAACCAGTTTATTGGGGAACATTTCTCGCTGTGCAGCTCGCTCCTTAGAATACCCACTTGCCACATTGCCATTTGATAGCCGCTCACTGCGGAAATTATCATGCTAAAAAACGCATTTAGCTAAGTAGAGTCCCGCATTCTCGTTTTCCATTGCCAATTGACCCGTCGAGCGGCTCGCATTCGCTGGAAGAGATCTTTAGAGAGACAATGTCTGGACGCCGACCGCTTTTCATATCTTCAACCCTTGCAGCTCAACTGGAGGCGGAGCCCATTAAGGACAATCGCCAGCTATGGGATTTCCAAGTTCGGAGCAAGGACATCGACTGGCGGCAATATGTCCAACCAATGGATACCACAATTCGATCGGGAGCTGTCTATCTGGAGCGCCAGGCGGACTTTGTGGGCAGCCATCGGGTGGCAGTGACCGAAGATAATCGCAGGGAACTGCTCGTCTGCCATGACATGATGGGCAACTACCTAGAGGATCGGTGAGTCTCCAATAGGAGTAGCTACAGCTTTTAATAGTTTTCTATTTTTTTCCAGACATTTTCACAGCTCGGAAAAGTACGACGACTATCGATTCCTGCACTGGTCAGCTGTGGATTACTTCTGCTACTTTAGCCACGACTACGTGACCATTCCGCCCAGCGGCTGGCTAAATGCCGCCCATCGTCACGGCGTTCCGGTGTTGGGCACGTTCATTGTGGAGACCTCCCGACTCCTCGATGAGGTTCTGGAGAACGAGGAAAGAGTTGATAGGACCGTGGAGGCCTTAACCCGTCTCTGCAAGCATTTCAGCTTCGAGGGATGGCTGGTCAATGTGGAGGTGGAGGTGCCCCAGCGCAATATGCCCAATCTTTAGTGAGTTAAATAGGATAGGTTGTAAGCTTGTTAAAAAGTTTAAGTTGATGGAAGGAAATGCTTTCATTTTCTTTTTAACAAATTTTCTTCAAGTGTTCAATTTATCAACTGCTTTTCCAATTCAATCGATCAAAAGCTGTCAAAAGTGAAACTGACTTTTCTATTTTCACACCAAAACGAAGTGCAACACTTTCAACAATTTCTCAGAAAATATAGAGTTTCGCTTAAATATTTTTATAAATTAATAATAATAATACTATCTCTCTCCACCAGCCGCTTTGTCCGGGAACTGACCAACGCCACGGAGTCACGCGTGCCCCATGGACGTGTCCTTTGGTACGACAGCGTGACGGAAGATGGGAAACTGAAGTGGCAAAACGAGCTCAACTCCAGAAATGCGGAGTTCTTCCGGCGCAGCCATGGAACTCTAATAAACTACGCCTGGGACACGGGCCACTTGGAGAGGAGTGCTCAGCAAGCCAAAGCGGAAGATTCACCGCGACATCGCGTCTTTATGGGATTGGATGTGTTTGGAAGGAGTCGAAAAGGTGGCTTCCAGAGTTTAGAGACGATGGAACATATTGCGGATAATGGATTTTCGGCAGGCATCTTTGCACCAGCTTGGACCTTTGAGACCCTTAATCGTTTTGGATATAATATCAAAAATCCACGTGGCGAAGAGGAAGTTAATTCAGCTTTCTTGGCCAGAAACGAAACGTGGTGGGCACGCATATGGCCAACTTTGGCCACACACCCATACCGTTTGCTGCCGTTCTTCACGGACTTTTGTGTGGGTTCCGGACGAGCGAGCTATGAGCGCGGATTTCGTATTTCTGGCGACGATTCGTCCTTCTTCAATCTGTCGCGACAGTCGCTGCAACCTTCAGTGCCGCTGGACAAAAATGCAATGCATAATTTCGATGATGCCTTCTCCGGCGGCTGTTCCCTTCTGCTGACCAACTACGAACGTGCCTTCCGGCTTTTTGTCACGGACTTCGAATTGCCCCAAGGCGTTTTGCTTCTGGGTTATGCCTATAAAATCAATGGCACTGCCGTGACCACCAACTTTGATCTGCTAGTACGAGTCACTCCGCTGCAGAGGACCAGCGCAGAGCTTTACATATTTTGCGGGGAATATAACGGCTCACTGGTGGCTCCACAACGTTGTTATCTCTCGCCATATGATAGTGTCCTGCCCCGCGTACATTCCCAATTGCCGCAGGACCCTAGATCCCTGGCAGCTGGATGGAAGGTGCGTTACTACCTGGTTAAGTTTGATGGACCCGTCAGAGTTCAGGATATTGGAGTTAAGTGCCAGAGGCCAGCGGAATCGAAGGCGGAAGCTCTGTTGGGCGGTGTTTATGTGGAGGCTCTGTCCCTGGAGGATTTGCCGGACACGCATGCGGATATTCCAGTCTACGGCAAAAACATGTGGAATGAGCTGCGGTCTTAGAGGCCTTGTTGGATTGATATATAGACATTTACTTATACTATCTGATTTCTTTTTTTTTTTTTATCAATTTTTTGATATGTAACTGTGTTCAAAATAAACTAATCAAAATGTACAAAACTGTATGTAAATTCTTGCTAAATTTTGTAAATTTGTCTTTCTATCTGTACAAAATGTTCAAATATTCTTTAGTCATTCCATTTGGCCCAAACCATTTTTCGCAAGTGGCCTCTACCATTGCCAGTCATTTATCAAATGGTCCATTGTGCCTTTTGTGACGAATACTTTGGCGGATGACTCACGCATCCTGGCAGCTCCTTTTGGCCCAACGTTTTGCCAGAAATTGACTTCAATCGTTTAGTCACCGCTCCTGGCACTCGGCCACATCATTCAACTACACTTCACTTCACTTGGCTCCGCACCAATGGCCCTCAAACTTACTCTTGGCTGGCTGCCAAGCTGTCTGGCCTTTGAAACGTGACTGTGAAACTGTGATTTGTATGTTTTTTGCAAAAATGTTTTTATGGGAAATGATTTAAAGATATCTGATATTACCTTCTCAATATGCTTTATTTAAAAGCTAATTAACGTTAATTTGTAATCTGCATTCTCTGCTTTGATTAACATTAACCGTTATTTGCCCGTTTAATCCACAGTTAATCAACCAATTAGCCTTTTTTTGTTTGTGGTTCATGCTAATGCATATAAAACTGTCTAATTATTTATGAAACTGAATAAATAAATGCCGGACATAATGTGTAATCTGTTTTTAATTTAAAATGCATATTTATTTTGTAGCAAAACGTGACCAACTGACCACAAAATTTCCATTTAAATTTCCTGGAAATTCGAGCTCTAACACCTTTTGCTCCGACACCACGACTCTTAGCCTTGGCTGAGTAATTTTTTGACATTTTTAATGCAGATTTTCCGACAGCACACGCTGTTGACATCATTTCTGTTTGCATGACAGCATCTGCAATTCCCCCGCTCGACTTTTTCCCCCACGCCCCGTCAGTTTTCCACAGTTTTCCCTAGTTTTATGCAATTTTATTTGTTTAGTTCTCAGCTTTCTGTTTAACTTTGGCTTTGGCCTTCCTCTTCAGCGAGGCTGCTTTGAATTTCCGCGCCTTTTTGGAGGCGCCGAAGCGGAAGTTAAGGGAAAAAAACAGAGAAGAATGGGGGCTATGGGGTGGCATTTCCGGCCCAGCCGGGCGGCTGCTAAGTCATCTTGCTAGCTCCCTTTCATTGCGAATACATATTATCCTCTGCTTTCTCTAGATGTCAGCTTTTTGCTGAATTTATGTTCAACTGTCGCAATTAGCCACGCCCCGAACACCGCCCTTTACCCACTGGCCACTGACAGCGGGCTAAATCCCAGCCACTGACCGCATTTCAAAGTGATTAACGTCATCAGACGGAATGCATTGATTTAGCTGCTGGATTTTCCGATAGAAATATGATGCGAAATGGGAGATGATGAAGTCAGGATTTAAATCCATGAAACATTCGAGAAAATGTATAACTTATCGGTGATTTAATTAAGCAATTTAAATTTTTCATTACTCAAATTAATAAATGGTATTTTCTTTTCGTATTATTGCTTACTATTAATCCGTTTACTTAATACCTTTATGTAATAATAAACTTTCCCCTCGCCATTCGATATTACTCAATATTAATATTAATTAAAAGGTTTTAAATGCATTGCCAAAGAGAGCGCGAGACGGGAAGGGCAGAACTTTGAGAGAGTCGAAATATTAAGAAGATCTTGTAAGGGCCACGTAATCCTCTCTTTCCCCTCAGCTGCTCTTGGTAAAATTGCCAGCCATCAGTCTGCCGGAGAGGCTTTCCGAAATCGCACGTAAATTTTTAACCCGCGTTTGAAAAGTGTTAAAAAGTCTTAATAAGTGTTAAAAATTGATAAAAATCATTAAATATAGTGATCGCAGTCTAGTATTTTGTGTTTTGATCAATATATTATTAATATATAGTCATTTAATAGTAAATTCTTGTGTTTTTTCAGCCAAATCGATAAAAGTGCGTGAGTGTTAGTGTGTGTGTGCCGCTCCATATATATGTGTACATATATATGCGTACATATCTATGCGTATATATATATGCGTACATATATATGGAGCCACTTGTGAATGAACGAAAGGAAATGCAAGAATCGAAGAAGTCACGTAATTGAGGAAGGTCAAGGTCAAGGTGAAATAATCCGATATTCATCAAACCCCAATAAGAACATTCTGCAATGTGGAAATATAGGGTAAGTGGCTTTTATATATATTAATTAAATTTATATTTATTTCGAAACATAAGAAAAAGTGCATAATTATTGGTTAAACACTTTCCCAAAATATTATCACAGCCAAAAACCTTATTATTTGATATTAACTTACATTAAAAATGATTTAAATGATTTGCGAAAACATGGGAGAGCGGGGAGAAAAAGAACTTTGAGAGAGACGAAGAAATAAGAAGATCTTAGAAAGGCCACCGAAATTCCCTCTCTCTTTCCCCTCAGGTGCCATTACCAAATTTCCCAGCCTTCAGTCTGCCCGAGTGGCTTCGTAATCATTAAGTAAATTGATTCCAGTTTAGTAAATAGTTTTTTGATTAATATATAATTTGTGAATGAAAATTTGCATGTGCATACAAAAGGAAATGAAAGAATCAAAGAAGTCACATATTTGAGGTAGGTCAAGGTCAAGGTTAAATAGCCATATATGTATTTTTTAAATCTTCATAAGAACCCTCTGTATTATAGAAAATCAAGCTAAATGATCTTTATATAAATCTCTTTCATAGTTATTTAAAACTTAAAACTTTCGAAAAAGTTCATAATTATAGCTTAAACACTTTCGCAAAACATTAACACAGCCAAAAACCTTATTATCAGCTATTAACTTGCATTTAAAATGAATTAAATGATTTGCGAAAACATGGGAGAGCGGGGAGAACAGAACTTTGAGAGAGGCGATTTAATGTGAAGATCTTAGAAGGGCTCCGAAGTTCTCTCTTTCCCTCAGGTGCTGATATCTTAGGAGGGCCTCGAAAGTTCTCTCTTCCCCTCAGGTGCTCTTGCCAAATATACCTACCTTCAGTCTGCCGGAGAGGCTTCCCGAAATCGCACGCAAATTTTTAACAAGCGTTTGAAGAGTGTCCAAAAAGCCTTAATAAGTGTTAGAAATTGATAAAAATCATTAAATTTAGCGATCGCGGTCCAGTATTTTGTGTTTTGATCAATATATAATCAATTTATAGTGGTTAAATAGTAAATTCTTGTGTATTTTCAGCCAAATCGTATAAAGTGCGTGAGTGTTAGTGTGTGTGTGTGGCTCCATAGATGCGTACATATGAAGCCACTTGGGAATGAACAAAAGGAAATGCAAGAATCTAAGAAGTCACGTATTTGAGGAAGGTCAAGGTCAAGGTGAAACAGCCCGATATTCATCAAATCCCAATCAGAACCTTCGGCAACGTGGAAATATAGGGTAAGAGGCTTTTATATATATTAATTACATTGATAAATATTTTAAAACGAAAGAGAAAGTGCATAATTATTCGTTAAACACATTCCCAAAACATTATCTCAGCATAAAATCGTATTATTTGATATTAACTTCCATTAAAAATTAATTAAATGATTGGCGAAAACATGGGAGAGCGGGGAGAGAAAATACTTAGAGAGAGGCAAAGTAATAAGAAGATCTGAGAAGGGCCCCCGAAATTCACTCTTTCCCCTCAGGTGCCCTTGCCATCAGTCTGTCCGAGTAGCATATAATCATTAAATAAATTGGTCCCAGTTTAGTAAATTGTTTTTTGATCAATATATACTAAATATATAGTGTTTTAATAGTGAATTCTTGCCTTTTTTTTTTGAGACAAATCGTATGAGGTGCGTGAGTGTTAGTGTGTTTGTGTGGCTCCATATATATGCGTACATATTTATGCGTACATATGTATGGGACCACTTGTGAATGAACATTTGCATGTGCATACAAAAAGGAGGAAGGTCAAGGTCAATTTTAATAATTTTAATTCATTAAATCCCAATAAAAACCCTCTGTATTATGGAAAATTAAGCTAAGTGGCCGTTATTATATATCTTTCGTTGTTATTTAAAACTTAAAATTTATGAAAAAGTACATAATTATTGCTTAAACACATTCCCAAAACATTATCGCAGCCAAAAACCGTATTATTTGATATTAACTTGCATTAAAAACGAATTAAATGATTTGCGAAAACATGGGAGAGCGAGGAGAGAAATAACTTTGAGAGGGGCGATTTAATGAGAAGATCTTGTAAGGGCCACGTAACCCTCTCACTCTTTTCCCTCAGGTACTCTTGCCAAAAGTTCTCAGTCTTCAGTCTGCCCGAGAGGCCTTCCGAAATCGCACGCAATTTTTTAACCCCCGTTTGAAAAGTGTTAAAAAGTCTTAATATGTGTTGAAAATTGATAAAAATCATTAAATATAGTGATCGCAGTCTAGTATTTTGTGTTTTGATCAATATATAATCAATATATAGTGTTTTAATAGTAAATTCTTGTGTGTTTTCAGCCGAATCGTAAAATGTGCGTGAGTGTTGGTGTGTGTGTGTGGTTCCATATATAGATGCGTACATATTTATGCGTACATATGTATGGGACCACTTGTGAATGAACAAAAGGAAATGCAAGAATCTAAGAAGTCACGTAATTGAGGAAGGTCAAGGTCAAGGTGAAACAACCCGATATTCATCAAATCCGAGTAAGAACCTTCTGCATTGTGGAAATATAGGGTAAGTGGGTGTTATATATATTAATTACTTTGATATTTATTTCGAAACGTAAGAAAAAGTGCATAATTTTTGGTTAAACACATTCCCAAAACCGTACTGCAAGCAAAAACCCCGTTACTTAACATTAAATTGCATTAATAGTGATTTAAATGATTTGCGAAAACATGGGAGAGCGGGGAGAGAGTGAACTTAGAGAGAGACGAAGCGGAGATAAGATCGTTGGAATGACTTTTCAATCCGCTGCCCTCTCTCCCATGTTTTGCACTTGTCATTCTTGACGGGTGGCATCCCTGACCTGCGGTAACTGTTGTTTTTTTGTTTACAAAGTGTTAATCAAAGATAAAACCATTAAGAAAAGTGATAGAACGACTGCGTTTAGAGTTTTGATCAATATGAAGTGTTGTAATAGTAAATTTGGCTGAATTTATTGCCAAAATTAAAACGTGACTCAGTGAGAGATGTGGACATGCTGGCGCCTCAGCACATACATCTGTATATGTGCAAATATGAATGAACGTACATAGGTATGCACATGCATTTCGTGATGCATATGTATATGCATACATAGGAAGTATGTATGCAAGGGAAATAGATATGAAACACGAAAATGCAGCGCCTTCTGAGAAAAGCCAAAGTAAGAACAATGCAAAATATAGAACATTTTTATTAATTAAAAATATTATTTGTTTCCAATAAATTCTAATAATGATAAATGTTTTCTCTTGGTGCACATATAGCTTCACGGGATGAGTGAAAATCTATATACATATGAGATTACCCAAAGAAAAAGGAAATGAAAAGCGGATGTATGATGGTCAACTATCTAATATGGAAAACTTTTTATTATTTAATTACAAATATTTGTTGTTTCCAATTGATTCTAATAATGATAAATGTTTTCTATTGGTTAAAATATAGCTCCCCGGGATAAGTGAAAATCTATTTACATATGAGGATACGCAAAGAAAAAGGTAGTGAAAACCGGAAGTGCGATGCTCAACTATAAATTAAACCCAATAAGTACCTCGATCAAAATGGAAAGACGGAGTAATATATTTTTTCTATTGATATTTAATTGGGTGAATCACAAACTAAACTGCTTGTATAAAAAGAAAATTAGTCATTAGGTAAAAAGTTTCAAGTTTTATAGTTAAGCCTTTCATGTTTGGCTTGCCAAACGGCTTAAGGTAGCTCCAGAAAGATCAAAAGAAAAGTTATAGGTTTATATAAAAGCGATCATATATATAGAAATATGATCTGATTAATGAGTAACTAGTACATTGAAATGCCAAATTTGAAACTGATTCTACAAACGCAGTATAGCCATTACCTGCACTGAATAATGCGGAAAATAATGGTAAATAACCCGAAATATTTGTTTCTATCTAAATTCTAATAACGTTATATTTATCTTTGTGTTGTGCAAAATTAAAATGGGGCACCGCGGGACAAGTGCATATACATATGGAAATGTATATGAAACCAGAAATGCGATCCATCAATCAGCCATCAACTAATCCCCATTACAGCCTCGACCAACATGGAAAGTTGGGGTAAGTGACCATTTTATATGGTTTTTCAGTGATATTTATTTGTATAGATCATATACAAATTCCGTTTTGTAAAGAGAAAAGTCATTAGGAAACAAGTTCAGTCCTTTGCCTGATAGTTGAGCCTTTTATGTTTGGCTTGCCAAACGGCTTAAACTAATTCTAGCAAAATCAAACTATAGGTTGTAGTTATAAGAGCGATCGTATTATTAGAAATAAGATAGGATTATGGAATCAAGATACTTCTGAGTATATAAGTAGATATACTATTATTTATTACATTGTAATGCCAAGAAGTTAGATATAGATTCCACAAACGCAGTGCATCCTGTATCTGCACTGAATACAGCGAGAAATAATAGTAAGTAGCCCTGAAATGTATTTTCCTTACAAATTCTTATAATGATAAATTTATCTATTTCCAATGCCCAATGCTAATGCACCTCCGCGGGATAAGTTAAAATTTCTGTGCAGAAATTGTGAATGAAAAACTTAAATTCGATGCTTAACTTTTACCGAATCCCAATAAGGACCTCGATCAACATGGAAAGTTAAGGTAAGTGGCTCTTTTATATGTTTTTGTATTGATATTTAATTTGACAAATCCTATACAAATATGATTTTATAAAGATAATTACCATTAAGAATTAAGTTCTTTATTTTATATTTCAGCTTTTCTTGCTTGGCTTGCCAAACATAACACCTACTTTAGTATTTCTATTTTGTATCATACATTTATACTTTCAATTCTAACTTTCTAAGTCATAAACATTGTTTTACTACATTTTCCCTAATGATTGTGAAATCCGTCCGCTAATATTATCATTTTTTGATCACAGTTCTTTTGTTTTTGAGTTTTTCCTTGTCACTGGGTAAAGTATCTAAGCAAGCGCATTTCTACATAATCACATGTACTTATATATCTAATATACCCACAAGAAATACAAATATATACATAACTTGAAAATTCACATGAAGGTATATTAAAATTAATATAAAATATGAAATACTAGAGTAAGTGGCTCTGAAATATTTGTTTTATATAAATTATAATAACGTTACATTTTTCTATGTGTTGTGCAAAATGAAAATGGGGCACCGCGGGAAAAGTGTTCATAATTATATATACAAATGGAAATCAACATAGGACTACGAAATGCGAAGATCAACAATCATCAATCATCAATCAGCAATCATCAATAAACAATCAACAAATCCCCATTACAACATCGACCAACGTGGGAAGTTAGGGTAAGTGACACTTTTTATACTTTTATTTATTATTATTTATAGTTAGTATTAACTCTTTTTAAGTGTGAGTTTCCTCTTTGTTATTTTGTTAGGCAAGAAAGGTCTTAGGTGAGGTCTTAGGTTATTGTATAGCATACTTATCAGCAAATCTGAAGTGAAGTTAGAATGCAGGGTTCTTAACCAATTAGTAAATGAAAGCTTTTCGTTTGTAACATTTCTTGGTCAGGGAAAAGCCAGCAGTAGTCGTACTCTTTGTGGATTAGCTATTAGGTAACCAATAATCTCCCTACTATAGAATTCATCTGCATTCATGGTTGTGCGGAAGGTTGTTTTGAAAGTGTTTTCCCGAGTAAAGGGAGTCAGGGCGTTAGACTATGGGTTTCCTTTCGTCTTCGTCTTCTTAACGGAAAAGGGTTTTCTAGGAATAGGAATATTTTTGTAAATCTTTTTACTTTTTTCATATTTAATACGACTTTTTGTGATTCGAATTATCTATGATTATTCCCTCCCTTTGACATTTTCATTTTACATTTCTATATTAAACCTTTTGATTTTAGGTATGAATTCTTTTTGTGGTAGATTTCCTAAAAAAACAAGAATAAATTCCAGTTAAATTTGCTTCTTGTGCATTTCCCAAAGCCCTTTTTAGCTGCAAAGCTAGATTCATCACTCCAATTCCCCTTAAAAGTTTCCCCGTCGCTCTTTAAACTCACCCAACGGTGGTCAGTGGGGCTCATATTTAAGCAATTTATTGCAACACAAACCCATATACAAAAACAAAAAAAGGGAAATGGGGGGAAATCCCAAACAAGCTTGGGGCCTGACCTAGATAGGGATTTTTTGGTTAGAGAATTCCGGGACAGGTGGCTTTAATGTGGATTTTTGGCCTGGGATTTTATGCATTTAAATGGAAATGTAAAATATAAATGTAAATGGGAATTGAAATTGAAATTGAATGTGCTGGCAGCAGGCTGAGATGTATCTCCTCTCGGCCATTGTAACTCGAAAATGCAATTTGCGGTTGCCCGGGGTCTTCGGCTTTTTGCTCTCCAAATTAAACTGAATTGCAAATGAGCCGAAATGAAAGATCACCAACGGTGTTAAAATATGCCAAAAATAAGCTAAAAATATGTTAACAAAAAACTAGCGAAAAATTTTGATTTGTTTGGCTATTTTAAGGGGACTTTTTGTGAGAAAAACTTGCAAGTTTCCAATTTTCTACCTAATATTTTTTATTATTGAAGACATTTTGTTCTTTCTTTCTTATACCAAATAACTTTTATGATTTCCGTTTTCTATAACATCTATATACATCTGCCATTACCTTAGCTCTTGAAAAAAGCAATAAAATCGAACCAAAAAGGCGAAAGCCAAGAGCCAACACTTGGCCGTAATAAAGTATTTCTTATTGCCATTTTGAGTTTGTGTTTTTGGCCGCGGGGAAAATGTGAAAAGGACGCAGTCATTTTCCCATCATTTTCCCATCTATTTGAGCCATATTTCTCGTGCTGGCCGAGTAGCATTTCAGTCTAATTGTCGTATCCGGTTGCAGATTGGCGGAGATGGAATTGTCGCCGCGAGAAATCAAATTAAAATCGAGTGTGGGTGCTGATATGCAATTTTAAATTACCTTCACGCACAGCAGCTGGCCTGCTATGTGCTCTTCTTTTTCGCCGTGTGGGCGTAAAGGCCTTCATTAATATGGCCAACACGCACACACACACACACATACTAATGAGTTCTCTGATTTTCTCATGGCTGCCGCATCAGCATAAATTAAAGCCTACTTTTCGGGCGGGGCTTTAATTACGGCCAACGCCACAGCAGCCCGCGGGCAAAGGGCAAAGTGATCGGAACCACAGCCAAAGCCACAACAAAACCCTGTCAACTCGTCCCTAAAACTCATCAAATTCCAATAATAATAGATGTGGGAATGTGTTAGAAGAGAAATCCAAGGGATAAATACCCTTTAAAAGGGCTAAAATGATGGAATTTAATATTAAATAAAATGATTTCAAGTGAGAAGATAATAATTAATGGCAGAAATGATTTATTTTGATTTATTACGACAAGTTAACTTTATTAATTAAGTGTTAAATTATATAAAAATGAGATTTAAATGCTATTTTTACTGTTTCCTGTCATAAACTATAACTTTTCATATCCCTCTTATGAATGCATAGTCCAGCTATGCTATTAGATTTCCACTTAACCCATAACATGACAGATCTTAGCTGCCAGAAAGCCTAACCCATAAACCCTTTTGGCTGAAAGCCCCATCAGGCTAAAACAATCGCATCTAAATTTGCTCCTGGCTTTGGTTAATGGCTTTCAGTTTCAGCCACAACCGACCGCCATTCGGCTCAGCATAATTTGGGTCGAAATGTAGTTTTTGTTTTTTTTTTTTGGCGTTTTTGGGTTTTGGCTTCTGGCCTTTGCGGCTCTTTGAGCCATGCATCAAGTGTCGGACAGGACATTGTATATGGATTTATTGGCATGTTGGCAAACAGGCTCTTCAATTTTCATTAGGCCCCATTGATTAAAGTCTTCAGATCCATTTCAATCGATGAATGGCAGAGCGAATGGTAGTAATAGATTTCCGCTGTGGCCGCAAAATCCACTGTCGAATTTATTTGTGGGGGAAATTGTGTGAAAATGCGATTTAATGCAAGGCCAATGGTCTGCTTTCAGCCCAATGTTCCCTCCCCTTTTCGCCTTTCGCTTTCCGCTTTTCTCCGCAGGCAACAGAGCATCAAATCCTTGAGGCCTGAGCTCAGTTTTTCCTCCTCAGGATGTGTGCGTGTGTTTTGGCTCTCGCGGCGCCTCATAACTTTTCCACATGGCCAGCACAAAAAAGCCAAAAAAGCCAAAAAAAAAGAAAAACAAACAAAACAGCACGAGACCAAAAAATATTTCGGCCCTGTATTTGGGTTTCCCCCCCATTTGCCTTTTGCTAAGCAGGGGAAAAAACTGAGGAAAATGTGTGAAAATGCATTTGTGGCTGGCTCAGTTCTGGTAATACTCTCTGGACCACTAGAAAAGTTGGAAATTGTTTGTTAAACAAGTTATGGACAGTGTGAGAAATTATTTAAGCCAACAAAAGTAATTTCAAATGAAAATATTACAGAAATTACATGTTTTGTTAGGAAAACAAAATACCCTTTCGAGCCAGTAAAAAGAGGATATTGGAGGGGATTTCTGGGGGATTTCCCTGTACGAAAAGAAAAACCATTTCTCTTCTTTGTCGTCACTTTGCCTTTCCACTAAACGTTCATTGCTTCGCCTTTGGTGTGACGAGCATCCGTCTCGCATCCATCCGCTATATCCGTATCCGTGGGCATATCCTCCGGATCTGCCGACTATATCGGCTATATTGGATACAATATATGTTTTCTGCTGACGCTGAGTAAGTGTTTGTATTTTTCGCTTTCCACTCGACAATCAGTTGGGCAAACAGCAGCAGCAGCAGAGGGACAAAAGACCAAGCGGGGTTATTATATGCCAGGAAAAACCAATGGAAAATGCAACAGGCATAGCACCTAGGATTTGGAAGACATTGTGATTGTGTTTGCTGAAAAACAAGGCAAGTTTTCTAGTCTAATGTTTGGAAAAGCCTTGGGGTTTAGCTTTTATACCAACTTGCAGTTCAAGTGGATGGATTTTCGTGCTAGTTTTACTTTATCAGCATAAATCACATCATTCTAAAAATATTTTATGTTTCGATAACCTCCTGGAGACAGCCATTCCCTGCCAATTTATTGGGAATTTAAAAAGCACTTAATTAGTTATCTTAACTTGTCTTTTCTAGAAGTTTTCCCTAGTTTCCTTCAAACTACTAGACATTGCAATTGCTTTTCCAGTTGAGCTCAAACTGATTGCAAGCAGCTCAACGTCGCTCAATAACATGTCATTTATCAGGCTGACAAAGAGTCTTAACGGCAGGAGGAAAAATCACCCGCCATTTCGTCTCCCTCCCAACAGCTTTTCCGTCAAGATTTTCTTTTCACTCTTCAGACATTTTTTGTGCAACTTTTTTAAATGCTTAAGTTGATTAACAAATACTCTTACACCCTTAAAAGGGGTTTTGTTATAGAGTAAACAGCAGAAGGAAGTGTCTTAACAATCTTTGAGGAACCTTTAAGAAATTAAAATATTTCCAGGCTAAAAATAGTGCTTATCCCATAGTGAGAATACCCAACAGTTTCCCTGCTTTACCCACAAACTTTTATAGCTTTTTTATGGCTACCATTTCTTAATTTTTAATGGCCTCCATCAATTAATTTAAACATTTTAATTGAGGACAAACTTGGCCAAAGATGGTGATTTGCAGTCAAATGGCTGTCGCTGCGCTGTCGCACAGTTTGAGCAGCACTTTGACGTCAATCGCTGTCCTCGTTGTTTGGCTATAAAAAGAAAACATCATTGGAGCAAGTTTCGCCAGCGCGAGAAATGATGTGAAGTTTCCTACCCTCTCCTCTCCTTTCACTCACACACCCACGCACACTTTTCCCCCTGCTTGATTTTGTGTTGATGAGAAAAGGCTAGGGAAAAGTCATACAAATACACAGGAATAAAAAGAAGATTCGTTTTTACAACCGCAGTATGTCGGAGGAAGGATCGTATATTCTGACAATGTGTCTACTTTCTAGGCAAGGAATTCAAGTTTAGTTTTTATTTACTTAAGAGTAATCCAAGAAGTGGATTTTCTTAGCCATTTTAAGATAACTTATCTAATATCTCGAAATATTTTTAGATCTCTGTACTCGTTCTTTACTTTCCGTGTACATCACTGAGCAGCTCCTTGAGTTTGTTTATTATAATGGGTTTGTTGTTTACGAGACACGCACTTTTTCATAATAGAAAACTAAAGTTGGCTGTCGGTTTTTTCTTCTGCTTTTTTTTTTTTGGCTGAAAGACAGAAACTGTAACTGAAACGTTGCCATAAATAAGGGCTCAAAGCGGCCAGCTGTCTGGTCGTCTGGCCTATCTGCGGCTCTTTT